AATCTCCAAAGATTATTTTAGCTTATCATGAACATTTCATAAATTTAACGGACTCAAGATAGCGGACAAGATTAGAGAAAGCCTTTGCATAAGCAATTGTGGAGAGTGAATTGTGGATTTGTGTTTGCATTGTGATTTCGATATCACTTATTTATAAAATTATGCTACCATTGCCCTTCTGTTTGTAACATCCGGAAGAAGGTATCAAAGAAAGAGACAGAAACTAAATATAATCTTGACGAGGGTAAAAATTTAAGTCCGCCTACTCACGTCCTGCATGCTTTTATAACAAGTAATAGCATTATAGTTCGGCAAGGTCGACATGTTACATACCCTAGACCTAGATTTCGACAAGTACAACTATTCACTTGTTCCGGTAATAGTACACCAAAGGTTACGCATTATTTTAATGCACAGGCATACTTTTCATGAAAGCCCATATATTGGAGAAATCCTTATATGTGGTAGTGGTATCTAAAAAATAGTCTTATGTGATCCAAATTCGGCAAAATAGATTTCTATGTCAATTTGTCACCATATAACACCATATAACAAATCGTACAACAAAACGATGCATATTTGACCCAAATCGGACAATCCGAAGCATGTTAAATAAAATCCTGAAGTTCATATAAAAATAATGGATTTCTTTTTCCCCAAACTAATATTAAAAATTATACCCTTTTTACTATATAAGGATGCAATTTTCATAGGAATAGTTATATGAAAGAAGGTTGAAAAAATTAATCCAGCCGAACGAAATTTTTCATATCAATTTAGTATATTCAAATCCTATTACGGAGCGAATTTCGACTGTTACGACTTTTCAAAACACGGACCACAATTAAATATCCTATGCGACTGTGCTTCATGCAGCTATTCGTAGAAAGATTTTTCAAAATAGGTTGCTTTAGGCGAAGTGGTCAGTATCGTTCGCCCTTAGGTCAAAGTATGTCAGTGTACGGACAGACGGACAGAGAGGCTTAGTATAATAAAAAATCTCAAGTCCTATCTTAAGTCCTTTATGGCTGTTGCATACGTCCGCACTAGTTGTAGATTATTAATATTTGACAAATCGAGCATACACCAACACACAAATCAAAGAGAATAATAATATTATTGTGAATGTAGGGAATAAACCTTTCCCGCAAATGGTAACTAATAGCAATATATTTGTCTTGGAGAAATTTTGTATATCTATCGCTAAAGCATTATTTGTATTATTACAAAATATTTAGACCAAAAGAATAAATACTAAGACGGAAAGTGGAATGAGCGCGCACTAACAACTAAGGCTGGCTATCCACACCAGCTTCTCTTCTTTTTCTTAGCTACGCTAGATGATTAGTTTAGCCGCTTTATTATTATTATTATTATTATTATAAACTTAGCCAGAGAATAAATTCTAAGACCAAAGTCTTTAAGCACTAGCATCTAAGGATTTCGGTTTTTTTCAAAAAACAAACGTACCGCACACTTGAGGTTTGAACCCACGACCATTGAGTTGCTAGTTGAGACTCTTGCCTAACTGGCCACTTAGGCGGACTTAACCACTTTAATGAAATTACAAATTTTATTGATAAGTGAATTGCAAAGATATTTTCCAGGTGTCCGCAGAAAGGTTTTAGAATTTACAAAGTGTATCTTTAATCGTAAGATGTCGTCCACAATCGCAAAGTAAATTACATAGAAAAAGCGACATTTTTTTTTTTTTTTTTTTTTTTTTACTCAGTTTAAAGCGAAGAAAACTTTCTCGTTTGTCTGACACATAGATGGCGCATTGTATTTTTTAATATATATAATAATTCTGGTTGTACACTTTAGTATTTTCCGTCCAATGAAACAGCAAGGAATCAAACCGTCTATGATATCAAATTTAGGTAAAAGAAAGAAACGAAGCTTTTGTCACACGGTATCATATATGGTTTTGCTTTTTTTTGCTACTTTAACGTAGGCCAGCCCAACAAACAATTTATAAAGTAAAGCGATTGCAAAAGAACAAAGGCATCGTTTATGCTTAGATCCTAATTAGTAATTAAATCAATCTCTTTAATGTTTTTTAATAAAGAGCAAATAACAACGTTAACACACACACACACAAACAACGTCATAACGCTACAATTATTCTTATAACGACTTTTCAAAATAATATTTTTGATGTGGTGATCTTTTTATACCCATCGACGAAGGATGAAGGTATATTCATTTCGTTAAAACGTTTGCAAGGCGCAGAAAAGAAGCTTCAGAGACCTCATAAAATATGTTCATTCTTTATCAGCTTCAAATTCCGAATCGATTTAAACATTTCCGCCTGTCCATCTGTGCGTCGGTCCGACTACGTAATATCTATGGTAAAAATTCAAATATCGGTTTCAGAATTTGGGAAAATGCTTCACAAATTCTTCCAAGTAGATCGATATTAAAAATGAGCCAAGTGAATGAAAACACACGTTTACAACATAACCAGAGAGAAGTAGTAAAAAGAAGCATCCGCTTTACTTTTCAAAAGGAAAACACCACGCATCTCGCGAACTTTTGCAGTTTCTGTTAACGGAACTACCATAGCGTTATTGCTGTTCTCTTTCATTCTTATCAATAACATGGGCAAAAGTTCCGTTCAAAGTTTTATTTATATGACGACCACCCAATATACATTTTCGTCTTTTTAAATGCACAAATGCTATGGCATTGTAAATGTATGTATGTACGTAAGAGAGAAGCCCTAAATGTGACGAAACAAAAGTAATTAGCTTTCATTTCACAGCTTTACATTAATTCACATTGCTCGCAAAACTTCGATAGATTTCAGTGAACAAATAATTTATACATATATAGAGGGACCGATGCAATATAATATGTTTGCACAAAGACAAATTTTAATATGAAATTTTTATACACATTTAATATATTTTACGCAATTTTTCACAAATTAAAAACAAACAGGAAAATTATATTGGGCCATGACAACGAATCTTTTATACCCATTGCCGGGCCATGTCTGATCACACACGATCAGCTTAAACATTTGCAATGTCAATTGTCGCTCTTCATCAATCGTGATCGTAAATTGGATTCCAAAGCACTAAATATAATAATTGTTTTAAAAAAGTAGAGATAATTGTAGGTGAAGTTATTTCCCTAAGAGGAAATGCCTCAGGCCAACATCTAAATCTATTAATTATAGTGAATATGGTTGAATATATTTATAAGGAGGAATATATTCAGCTGTGTATGCACGAATCGTTCGTTAGGAATTTCCAATTTGCTATTTGTTGAGTTGATGGCCAAATATTTATTTCCTTTCTTTCTATCTATTAGTAGTAAGTTTTCGTGTAGCTCTAAAGCTTTATAGTCTAATTTTCAACTGCACGAGGATCAGAAGCCCACTCACTATATCACGAGTACATGCGAGCAGAGGCGACAGCATTGGTGTACTGTAGATTGGTGCTTTCCAACATCCTTCGCGGAGAAAATTAACCCGTGTGTCATCGGACACCGTGGGGTTAAACCGACAAGTTAGTGTAGCCACGTTAAACCATCGAAGACTTCAAAGGCATCTGTAGCTCTAACGCTTGGGTGTGAAAGTTGGGGTATCTTTTCAAAAATACTTTTGCATAAAATACACGGTACGAAAGGTCTACCGACATTTCGGACTTTTCTGTCGCCAAATATCTAAATGAAGAAAAGGACCTTTACTTAATTCGAGACTAATGCTAAATTTGCCATTTTGTAATAATAATATTTTTAAATTTGTGTCAATTGGCTGCGCAGCCGCAAGATATTTGAAATTTCAATCTGATGGATTCTAGAGCTTCAGCGGTAAAAGCTCGTGATGCATAGTAGACGTGGATGGTGTAGTGAATCCTAAATGTCGCTGTTGCCGAGGACTACGTTCGGTTTTAAAATTAAGTGCATTAATGAACTGTTTATAGTCCGGCTGCACGGACGTTTGAAGTAGTTAGAAAAAGCTTTTCAAGCATCCTTCCGAAGCAATCGGTCGATGGCTTAGGATGAAAAATTGTATCTTCCTTAATGGAGGGTGATCCTCCGCTATACACTACTTCCCAAATGTTATTAGCTAAGCGAAGTAAAGTCTATATATCGCCAACCTTTGTATCTGTCATAGTTACATACAAATTCTTGGATATTTTCCTCAACCATATCTTCGCGAGCAGATCTAAGTCGATTTAAAATTTCAACTAATATATTTTCAAGGTCCACTTATATAGATGGGCTTGGGTAGCTGAGTGATAAACGTTCACATTTTCACTTATGCTCTTTGTAAGAGAACAAGAAATAGCGAAGCGATGCTCTTTACTTTATTTAATCACCACAACGGCTGAGTAATATTTTATAATATTTAATTTCTTATCGTTTTCGTATATATATAGCAGAATATATGTTGTGTTTAAAAATGTGCAAATAAATAATTTAATATTAATTGTATTAACTAGTGGGGGATGGGGATAAGCTGTGTCGATGAATGTGCTATTCATTCACAAGACGGAAGTGTAGACTTAGATTTATGAGACGATTTATAAAACAAAAATTGCACGCAGCAATAATCAATTCACCAAAATCCATTTGTTTTATCATATTTCATAACATTATAGTAAACTAAACCCTTAAACACTTACGATTTTCGAATGCGTAAACTATCGGAAGCTATATAAATGGATCGAAAGTTTTCAAATATTTTCGTCATTAATATATTTTGCAGGGAATGATTCTTAAGGTGAGAAAACCATTATAATGCGCATTATGTCACATCTGTGTGTTTGTGCAAATTACATAGTGGACTGACTATCTTTGGATGCGATCTTCTTATGAAGCGGTTTAAGAATTCACAAATTCACAAATTCTGTAATGCTGTGATCATGTTAAACGAATGACTGCTTAGCACATACATAGCGGTGTATGGATCCGGCCTAAAGGCGTTTCTTTGCCTTACAAGCATTCGTGTCTTTCTTCATATATTTATAAATTGAAAAATGTAAATCTACAAATCTATCTTCATTTTAATTATATTTTGATATTCGAAACAAAGTTAATCAATAACAGCAATCTGTTGCACATATAAATAATTTAATTAAGAAAAAAAATTCTTTCCCAATGTGATGCAGTAATAATGAGATAAGTACACAAATATTTATGCCAAGACGTTCTCTATTTGAATTACATAAGAATCGCGGCTATGGATTTGGTACCCAATGGTCCCATTGTTGGATTTCGTTATAAAGTGTTATACCTGGACTTTGCGTTGGAAAGGCTTGCCTGCCACCCAATAGCTCATAATTTTGCTGCAAATTTCCCATCTTCACTCCACAACTTAATAACTTTTTCGCAGATGTTAGAGCAGCAGCAGACGGTAGCTTAGCTAATATATTAAAAACATATACATATTGTATTTTAGAGTCTTGCGAATGCTTCGAAATTTCAAATACCTGTATAATCGCCAATAAAAGCAATGCCTGTGCCGTTGGTATTATAACCATAGGTATGAGCGCCTATGATAAGCCAACCAGTGCCTTCATAAACGGTACCGTCGCTAGCTATTAAAAAACTGATATAAAATGAAAAAAATTGTATAACACACAGTATTCACTTATATTTACTTATATTTATTATAATTTTTTTGAATATATATATATATTCTACCCACTTGTAACCGATATCATCATATTTTAAAGTTTGCGTATGATAATCTTGCATATTTTGTAAAAGCTCGGCACATGTTGGAAAAGTATCACATTCAGGCGTTACGGTATGATGTATAACAACATATTTCACCGGTATTGGACGATAATTTATTTCCGGACTTGGATGACCACCCCATTGTGTTTTTAATTTTATGCTGGGACAATCGCTTTCATCAGAACATGCAATTGCTAGTAAGGGCATCAAAGTTAATAAAACTTTTGCAATAATTTTAAACATGATTTCCTTGCGTTTATCACACCAAACTGTTTTTCATTAAATCATTGCAAGCACACTGCATTTTATATAAAAAAATCCAATTAGATTTTCAAACTTAAGCTTTCCTCTTTCTATTGTCGATTAACTTCGAAATTCTAAAGTTTTAATAATTCATTCTTAAGCGCGCTCTCTCTTTCTCTTTCTCTTTCTCTTTCTCTGTGCTTCGTTTTTGGTTTTCCTTCTTGTGCTGTGTAAAAAAAGCTTTTAATCAAATTCACAAAAAAGAACTTTTTAACGAGTTAACGAGTTTCCTTTATTTGAATCATTGGTACTTTACCGGTTTCAAATATTCACAAGAATACCATTCAATCTCGCGATTAATCATAAACCGATATAATTGATTACATTTCACGTAAATATCTGCATTAAATATAATATTTAAAGGGATTTTTTTCTTCAAAACTATGGACTTTCACGCAATTATATGAAAAAAAAAAAAAAAAAAATGAAAAAAATGTAAAATACAAAAGAAATTCAAGACTGGGATTCACAATAAAAATGCATAGAATTCAAATTAATCGAGGAATAAACAGAACCTAAGCTATCGGAGAACATACTTCCTTGGTAAGCTTAAAGAAAGAAACAGGATCCACTTATGAAAAATGCTAAAAAATCGGTTTTAAAAACGGAAATGTCGCAAGAGAAACATTTTCAATTTAATTAAAAAATTTGAAACCCGTATCCGTTGTTTCTACTCAAAAGATCTTGGTAAATATATATATACATATATATATATTGTATGCACTCATCTGCAATTAATGGAATGATCGACGTGCAACAGTAGCAGGTAGAGAGAGGCATATAAATGAATATGTCGTCATGTATGTCATATGTGTGTGTGTGTGTTTTTTTTCTTCTTTTTAGTATGCGAGCTAGAAATCAGAATCTAGCTCGTACTAGTAGCATGCACGATTCGCCATCCATGGTGCCTCTCCATACACCTCATCTATCACTCTGCTTCATAAGATCACCGTTAAGTACTACGCAGGATGGTGATCGTTAGTTGGCTACGCTTGATAAGACCTTTGTAGATTCTCTCTTACTTATGTCCCCTACTTCTGCTCTTTAACTGTGTGCGTAGATGTGTGTATGTTATTTATTTTTTTCAACATAGCTGGCAATGCCAACTAATGGCCCTACAACGTTTGGATAAAACCATCTCGGAATCACTTGCACATTACGTGAAAATAGGCCCTTATGGCAGATCGATCCTCCCTATATAATTTTGCAGCTGTTCAGATCTCGCCTTTATTCCGCCAAATATCGAGTAATAAACTAAAACATTTCCTTCATCTTTCCGACTGCTACTAGACTGCTAGATGACATAGTATAACTTCTAATTTCAGAGATCGAGAAAATATATTTCTCAAAGGTGTTTATGTACTCGTAATCATGTATGCATAATGTATTGAATTGTTTAGCTCATATCTTTTAGCGATTTGTAAGTGATGTTGATCAAGGTCATTCTCGCATTGCTTATCCATTTTCGGGATAGATGGCGCTTATTACTAGTAGTATTTTAATAAAAATATATTGATATGCTTGGTATGGTTTCCTTCTAGCTTATGTTTACAATTTTGTTTCAATATTATCCCGTTTCTTTAATTATTATGAACTCGTTAAGCTCTCTGGTAAATTTAATCTATTCGAAATCTACCTATTCTAGATCTATATGTAAAACCAAACACATGCAAACACATGCAGCTTTCGATATTCTAACCTAATGTTGAACATCTTCACAATTCAAAGAATAGATAGATATAATCATGTACATACACATAGACAAACTTAAAAGCGATATTTTGCATATAATTGACTTGACTCGAAATTTTACGCTAATCAAAAATATCAATATAGCCGATTGAAATATCACTCATTCGTTGTATACAAAGTCCACTTTTGATTTCATATTAATGTTTTTCTTTGCACTTTAGATACATATATATGTCGAAAAAAGAATATGTAAGAAAATCATATTTGGTTGCGACCCATCAACGTCGTCCTATAGAAGATTGTATAAAAAGGAAATATAATATAAATTTCCATACTATTCATATTATTAAATGGGCGTGGTTGATTTTTTGTATTCTACCACAAGTGATATAGGATACATTAAATTTGTGCGGACACGAGTGTAACACGAAGAAGCGCCCAAAATAGATCCATCTTTTATTATACCGAGCGATCGAGACAATGATTCTAAGCTTGTTTCTTCTTCGTCTGTTCATTCGATGTCTGTCCACCTAAACTTGTGTTCAAGATACAGGTCGCAACTGTTGAGATATTTTGATGAAAGTTGGTACACACACGTATTTTAACTCAAAGACGAACGCTATTGAAAATGGTTTGGATTGGTCCACCTTCCCGAGCACTCTCCATATAACGCCCTATTTTGAGAAGTTGTTATATGAAAAAAATAGCAGTGGCTAAGTAATGGTGTTTTGACAATCAGTGCTTCGTGATAAGAATCAAATCAGACAATAGTAATTGCACATAAAAAAAATGAACTGTACCAAATTTGGACCGTGTCGGCCTATTCTTTGGACCCTATAAGGATTTTCATAAAAGTTCTTGATTTTTAGGACAGAAAAGTCTAAGTTTTAATATTTTATGATAAAAATAAACGCATATTAGAAGTCTGATACAAAAATTAACTACGCTGAATTTTTGGATGCGTACCACAACTTTTAAAACTCTTGGGTAGTAAGCCTTTGTTTATAAAGAGGTCTAATTTTTAATATACAGTCCCATAATAGTAATTTCCTGAAAAAACAAGATATAATTTTTGTGTTCTATGGCAAAAATTAGACAATGTAGGATAGGGTATTTAATAGTCGGCCTAGCCGGACTATAATGTGTTCACTTGTTGTAGAATAATTTTTTGGAAATTTATAGCTACGTATCTGTTGCAGTTTTTCAGGAACGATCAAAAGACAGGCAAACCAAAGACTATTTCTGTATAGACACGTGAGTGTTGTAGGCGCGCTCTTCGACCTGCTTGGGCCATTTTCAAACTCTTTTGCAAACTTGTAGGCGATCATCATCTTCATCTTAACGAATGGAAGAATGTTTACCACAGATACTACACACAGTTGGGCGTACAGATAGCTGAACGAACTAACAGACAAACATACTTCGATGCATTGTATGCATTTTTGAAGCTTGCCTCATTGCGTTATTAAAGAGTGTAAAAAAGAAAAAAAATTATATTTTGATATTCCCTAATATTACGTACGTGTGTTTAATTTTTTCCATTTTCACAGAGGTTTTACACTATCGCTCATAGAATATACATTCAAATTTTTGTAGATTTATCTGCTACAGTTTGTGAATAATGATTAAAAAACTAATAAAACATTAGTTTCCTTTTGAAAAATACACCTATCCTCAGTTTACGTAGTACTGTAGGCGTGGCATTCGATAAGTTTGGCCAATTTTCAATACTAATCGGCGTACAAGAGCTTTCGATATTTCAGCCAAATTTGACGATCAACAGCCATTACACCGATAGACAGACGGACAGACGGACAGACCGACATACCTAAATCCATTCAGAACTTGATTGATGATTAAGAATATATATATACTTTGTGGGATCTCTGAAGTTCCTATCCGAACGTTGCAAGCGTTTTGACAAAATTAACATATCATATTCATACACATTCCATTTCTTCTTAGTTTTCCTCCTCCTTATAGACTTGCTCAAGAAACCCTATAAGAGCGTGGTCCAAAAAGTACTGTACCTGGCCTATAGTTTATTATGAAGTTTTTCAAAAAAAAAAAAAAAAAAAAAAAAAATGCAACGATGGAAATGAAACAGTTTAAAAAACTTATGTGTGAAAATTCCAGAAGTTACGCTGTTTGGTATTTTTCTAACTCACCAATAGCGAACGCTCTCAATAAATTTGAGAATGCGGGTTCAAGTTTTGTTTCATTTCAAAAGCCTCAATCTAACCAATTTCAAAGCCTACGCTTCTTTGCTGGGCAGCATTGCAGCAAGATCGTATGAGCAGCCAACTCGGGCAATGGAAAAAAAAATTGTATTTGACGTCAATTGAAAGGGGAGGAGCCTATGGACATGATGGCCATTTCAAATGCGCTCTACAGGGGGTTTGCTCACAAAGAAAAACAAAACAACTTAGCCAGAGTGAACGTGATTTCATATCAATAGACAGACTACGCTTCGATGCATAATTATGGGTAAAACATGAATTCATCATTTCACTGCTGAGGTGAGGGAACACTCAAAACCTTAAACTAGAAATGGAAAATCAGCTCCGAAAACGTTCAGCAGCAAAAAAAAGTTCCATGTGCTGGCGTGATACTAGCTTTTCGCGTGAAATAATTTTCAATTTTCTCTTCAAAGAAATAATGTTGAAATGTGTGTAATGTTTTATAAAGACGATGCACTAGAATATCATTTTGTTTTTACTATGGGCAGATTCTAAGAATTAAAGTGCGAAAGGCTTTTCAACTATTCTGTTCATCGGAGTTAGTTGTCTGGAACTATTTTCTCGTTCCAAAATTGAAAACATCGGCTCGACGTTAAAGAAGTTTGTCGACAATGCAGCTATAAAATTTATTGTAGACGACTTTTTGAGACGCCTTACAATTCTCATTGCAAAATCAATTATCGTTGGCGAAATTGGATCAAGGTTAGTAGACCCTATTGTTGCATGTATTAAGATATATTATTATTATTATTATTTTAATTTTAGACTAATTAATTGAATTCTTAGACATTGAGCACTAGCAACACAGGCTATCGGCTCTAATTTAAATAAATGGATATTAGATAATAAGCTTAGTAGTATTAATAAAGTAAAATATTGAATTCATATTCTGTTCTGAAGCTGATTGTAGAATGTTCAAAGGGTTAATCGTTCCAAATGCAATACTTCTAGCCAAGGAAAAGTTGAGGCAGTCGCAGAGAATGTGCTTTATAGTAAGAGTTTGTCCACAACAGCAGATTGGGGGAGAAGGCTTCTTCAGGATCCATTGGTGAGTTGCAATTGTATGACCAAAGCGAATTCTCGAAAATGTTCTTGGTTTGGATCTTGGTTTTCTCAACATTTATTGGATATAGAGGTAGAGTTAATTGAGGGTTAATGCATAAAAATATATTTTTTTGGCAAATTTTTGTCTTTTCGTTGTTAGCTTGGGGACATCGCTTGCTACGTTCATATCATCACCATCTTATATATTAAGGTAACGCTACGGTCGGTAATCCTCGGAATGGACATATAGACGTCGATTACTAACAAAAAATCCATGTTATATGTAAAAAATGCCAAAACTCAAACGTTATCTGTCAAAATCTCATTTCATTCTGGTCGTGTGTCTCCGAGTCACAAGTTGTTTCACTAATACTATTTTTTTGATTATTTTGGATAAAAACGTATATCGCTTAAGCAGAGCGTTGACTTGAGCAGTATTATGATAACCTATAAGTTCTTGAATTGAAACGAACGCCCACGGACATCAAAAGGACATGAAAATCGTTAGCTGACATCCCCTAGAAATATATTTAAAGCAACGTGTATTCACTACTTTGCATGAAATTTGATCATGAGGAAATAGCTTCCCAAACGGGTGTCACATATACTTGCAGCGAAGCAAGCACACTGTGTCACAAGTCGTTTACTACACAATGGCAAAATCGAATGAATTCTTAAGATTTTATCCCATAGTTCTATTGTTTGTTTGTGTATCGGAAAAGAATTCTCCAACGGCGGGGGATTTTAATCAAATTTCTCATGGACAATTTTGGGAAACCAAAGCATTAGAAAATCATGTCACAGCAGAGATATACATATGTTATAAAAGCGATGAAGTGATTTTTTTTATTCTTAAAGGAAACTTCGTCATGAATGAATGGAGTGGAGTTTTGCCCCAAAGAACAAACAAACTACTCTACTTAGATCTGAGACATATTGATCGATGTATTAAAACGTTTCGCGTTTATATTATGTTTTACAAGAAACATTAAAAATAAAAAACAAAAACAAAAAAAAAATCTAAATGTGGACAGATTGCTGAGCATTAAACACCCTGTAATGAGTACACGTTCACGATATATATACGAAGGAAATTTCTATTGATACCGTATTTAAGCTAACAGGCGACCAACCAGAACAGGTAACTATCATACACCACCAGTTAGTTCTTAGTTTGTTTTACGGCAAGGAGAAAATCCACCTAAGAACATATGTACATACATTTAAACCGCGTAAAGAGGAAAAATCATTTTTTGGTATTTTTCAACTTGACTGAGCATAAACGTTGGACTCGCGAACGCAAAAAGAGAATGTATTGCGCAAATTGTATTCGTTAACATTTCAATGAAATTGGTAATAAGGCCATAAACAGTTTGTGTTAAACTTGCGGAAGTTAAACATCCTTAAAAACGGGTTCCTTCGAAACTTCAAATACGCACTCTAAAATGTTTGTAAAGTTGTGAAAAAAACAAAAAAAAACAAAAAAACAACAACAACAACAACAACAATAAAATTCTCTTTTTTTTAATATTTTCCTGAAAGAAATAGTTTTCGTAAAATTAAAATAAATAGAAAAGAAAAAGAGTTTTGAAAATTACTTCAAACGAAAATTTTTTTTCTAAAATCTCACACGAAAAATGATAGATAACGTACCCGTTTATAGCGGAGCCAATAACACAACGTCATCATCGCAGCAAGGCTCACAGGAATACGGGAATTTTCTAAAGCGTAAAAATCTGGAAAGCGAAACTATTACCGGGGATCGTATTAATAGTGAAAAAAATAATAATAACAATCATGATAGCTTTCAACAACAAGATTTATCAGATTCACAACAAAATTGGAAGAAACGTCATTTAGACAACGGTGCGACAACATTAACGACATATGAAAACCAACCAATTTTCTATTCTCAGACTATAAGTGAAACGAAAAAATCCGCAATTTTGACAAGTGCCGAGGCAGGAGACGGAACGATTCGACTTGCATGCGATGGTGACGGTGACGGCGATAGCTATAACATTATGACGAATAGCAATTTTATTAACGATTTCCTAACATACGATGCCAATCTGTTAGTGCCAGTTACCAGAAATGGCAGTTTAACCGAAAGTCTTATCAGTTCAGAAGAATCGATATTCACCACATCTCCATCAACTATATGTGTCAATACTACAGCACAATTTGAAGATACTGCGGATCATTGGCAAGCTTCCGATTTGCTCGAATTAGATCATCGTTACAATTCAAGTTTACAAACTGAAATTACGCAATTAAATCCGACGCTATCCTTGAAAAATGCTGAATTGCCTTTAAACAATTTAAACAATGATAGCGACAAGGCAAGAGAAGCCATAACGTTTACTACGACTCAAGTGAATAGCAATAATAATAATAATAATAATTTTTTAATACCCGCCAGGCCAGAATCGCAGCATAATCGCTTGCCATCTACGACTGTGGGGAAAAATCGTACAAATTTTATGACATCGCATCGTGATAATGAAACGGATTTTGAGGATAAAAATTTATTATGGTTATTAAATTTCAAATTTGATGAGTTCCCTCATCTATCGCCAGATGTAGCGGGAAAAACGAATAGAAATTTTCATTTAAATGCGGCAACAACTAATAATGTTTACAATTCTTCGACTTATGCTGGTAATAGTTCGACATCGTCGGCACCCTCAATACCATTGGCCTCATCATCGTCATCATCATCATCATCATCATCATCATCGTCGTCCTCGTCGTCGTCGTCGTCGTCGTCGTCATCATCATCATCATCATCATCATCATCGTCGTCATCGTTGTCGTTGTCGCTGTCGTTGTCGTCGTCGCCGTCGTCGTCATCGTTGTTACTATCAAATAACAAAACGCATACAACTTATCGAATTTCGAATAGAGAACGTTCACGTTCCCCTAAAAGTTCGATTAAAGCGAGTAAAAAATTCGAAGAACTTGTTATGGAAGTAACATCGGAAATTGACGGAAACGATATGACAATAACTGAAAACGCAATCATAGATGAGTCTTCAATCCGATCGTAAGATTTTTCAAGTATTTTTCACATTTTATCTAAGAATTTTAAGATTTTTCCCAAATAGATTTTTTACATCAACATTTATACAATAATTTATTTTTTTTTTTTACGTATTTCTCTTTCTTATCTTCTTACTGTAATTCACCTACCACCCACTATTTACTATGCTTTATTATGTTGTACTATGAAGAGCCAAAAAACCGCCATTTACGTACACGGAACTTATTGAATACGCCCTCGAGGATAAGGGTGAATTAACCGTTTCTGGCATCTACCAATGGATATCGTAAGTACGATAAATGTATTATTAACGCCATTTTTATTCCAACCACCAGACGAGGACGCGACTCTTATTAATTATGTTATTCCGTATGCGTATGTGTACGCATATGCGATGCTTCATAGGTATACGAACTCTTGAATAAACAAAAATTTCCAATCATATTTGTCCGGCGCGATCCGATTAATATCTCCCCCCATTATATTGAGCCTTATAGGCCGGAAGACATAAACAAATCATAGAAATGCTATTTACAAAAATTAGCGCCGATATCGATGGGATAGATATCTTACTATAACAGATATCTGTCTATAACTTAGCACATGTATATACTAGAAAATCTTGAGTACTGTGTGCAAAAATTGTAATAATCGGCCTGAGGAAAACGCCTCGAAATCGCTTTTTTTTCTATCATTTCATTTAAAATAAATTTTTGTAATTAACATAATACTTAAGAAAGACAGTATATGTATAAATGTAATTAAAAAACATACTTTACTAAAAATATTGCTGAATGCATTTCTCTTTTACAACAAACCGTTTATACATTGGATGATGATGAATCTTAATACTTGACCCGTCGCAGGGTCAAATTTTTGTCAATTGAATTTTTTCAATTTATGCTCGTGTACACTTCTTTTTTGTTTTTAAATTAGACAAACACAGTCAGACTAACTAACTAACTAACATTATATTATGTTGTATTGCTTTAAAAGCTCGATGGGTACATCAAAAATTAACATGAAGGCCAATGGAATAAACCTTTTGCGATTCATTATTTACGAATTAATTTCGTGTGTTTGTGTAAAATTGATTCGACTTTGAAAATAACTTATATGCCTCTTCATATGTATCGATATCGATTGCTTTCGTTCTATTATTGTTCTGTCTTAAGCAATAAGCGCATAATAAGCGTAGAAATGCCAAATCACTTCTAGTTTTTAAATGATATAAATTTCTCAGTTAAAGGCATAAATTAATCTTATCATTTTATCCATTATCGTATTTTAGGATTTTTGTCAAAAAATTTTAATTTTATGAAAATGTTTTTATTTTCTTTTTAATTTTCCCGCCTCCCGTAGCATTCGTATTATAATTGCATTACGGAGCTTATAAATTATGCCAACATACTGCAAATAGTTTATTGGTTTTTCTGGCGAAGTAAAATTTGCTCATTTCTTTTTTTCTCCTTTTTTTTTTTTTTTTTACCTTGTTTTCATTTCCTTTACAAGAAAAGTTTTTGTTTTAGGAATTTCTTGCTTATATATTTTTATAAAAAATTTCAACAAGTTGCAAATTAAACTTATGGGGGGGAATAAAAAAGAATGTCTACCTATATATACGTAATTTGGATGAATTTAATAAATCTGATAATAAAATTCTTCTTAGTAAGGGAAATAAATATGTATAAAAATGCATATACATATACATACATATGGTCTTATATTCAACTAATTTTCCAACATTTTTTTTGCTTTTTCTTCTTTTTTTTTTTTCATTGTTAATCCTATTTGAAAGCATTTCATTTCTCTTATGATCAGTTATGGATATCTAATCAGTTGAAGAACATTTATCAGGATTGTAAGTCGGGTCGAATATATGCTTTGCTTGATGTTAACGCCCAAGTTCTCGGCGAATGTTCCAATTATTTACAAACACTATTGTCGATTATAAGCCGGACACAGAATTCTCTGGGGACATGCATAACTATGCGTATATGAGGTTGATTTTTTTCGGTCTCTACCCTGTATGGCAGGAAAAGAGACATATTTGGTCAAAATATCAGACTTATGTATACATTGCACGAGGTATGCGAATTCAGTTTAGACAAGAAGTCGAACATTCCGTTATATAAAGAGAATGAATGGGTCACTTGACATTTAGAAGTTCCCATGTCGAGAATTTCAAAGTATTCATAGGCGTTCTATACGAATATGATTCTCGTTGATTAATGTATTAAAGTGAAACGACAAGCACATCGAAGCATCTTAATGCGCCCTGATATTAACTTCTCGTCTCTCACAACCTATGTAAGTGGATGCGAAAAAGCTATGGCCATGGGTTACTTACAGTTATGTACCCACAAGTACCATACATAAGAGGTTATATTCTATTATTTTCAACCCGTATATAGGTTAAATCCGTTCAGTTACTCTAATGTTTTGCCGGGCTTAACAGCAAAACTTGCTTAAGCAACAAATAGGCCGATTATAGTGCCGATAATCTATATAATCGAGAAAGGCTCCGACTAGAAATCTGGTATCGCTTTGCTCCCTACTCCTCCACTTCCTGGCAGTTTCTGCAATACTTGTTATTAGGCATATGTTTTTGTACCTATCGCCGAAGGATAAGGCGAGTATTCAATTTTTCAAAACGTTTGCACTGTCCAGGAGGGCGCTTCAGAGACCCCACAACATATCCGTCTCTCTGTCCATCTATGTAATGTTTGTTGTAAACATTCTCTTGGCCGAAAAAAGAAGCTATCGACTTCAAATTTGGCTAAAACATAGGAAGTTCTTGTGCGCAAGATGGTATTAAAAATGGGCTAAATATGTCAAAGAACACGGCTATAATCCTACGCAAAATGAGGATACCTCTGTTCTTCAAATGGAACAAAAAATTGTTTTTTCGATCAGTACTCATAATCTACAAAAATTTGAATGTACATTCTATGAGCGTGGCTGTAGTAGCTCTACGAAAATGGAAAAAACCGGCCACACCTACGCAATATTATGGAGTATCAAAATTTAATTTTTTTTTTAATACCTTTACCAGAAGGAAGTTATACAACCCCATAAAGTATATAAATTCTCGGGCAATGTCAAATTCGGAACGCAACTGAACATGTCCGTCCATTCATCTCTCCATTTGTTCGTATGCCGCAGTGTGTAGTATCTGTGGCAAAGATTCGCCGGTTCGCAAAAATGAAAACATCGCTTAAAAATTTTGTAAAAGAATTTGAAAACGATCCAAACTTTTGAAAGAATACACGCCTACAACGTCCACACGTCTAACTAACAAAAACTGTGGATATCTTTCTTTTCCATGTTTTTTATTTGTTGCTCCTAAAGTGCAACACATACATCATATAAATTTTCACTACTCTTCTGGAAATAGAAAAATTCAGACGGGCCCACCCAATGTTATAAAGTATGACAATTCAGTTTTTTTCTTCTTTTTAGGATTACGGTGATGGGTAGCAAACATTCGGTCACGCTCGAATATAATATTCTTGCTTGTTTTTCTTTTTGACCTGAGCAAATTTTGAGAATTGGAAGAAACCGCTATAGAACATAGCTCGAGAATGACTTCATATATACAAAAGGTTTCGTTACAAAGCTTGAATATACTTGTCTTTTGTGATAATTGAAATGTCAAATTCCCCACAATTCTTGGGATCCGTGTGCAATTATAAATCTAAAAACGCTTACGCCAAGAGCTGAAAGCACGCTCTAAGTGAAAATATCAGAAGTGGTATTCCAAAGCGTTTTGGGAACATCATTTTGGTTTCCAAAATTGTTCTGCTGATGTTAAGCAAATCAGGGCTATCAGGATCGGGACCGGTCAATATTTGCTGATAGTCTTCAAATTACGTTTGCCTAGCGCTAAGCTTAAGTAAAATTAAATTTGCCGCAAAATTAATTTTTACTGCGCACTACGCCGAGAAAGTTAGGTTTTATTGCTCGTTAGACTTGGAGAAAATTAATTTGCCACTCGCTGCACCTAGAAAAATTAATCTTACAGACATAGCAAAGATTAGTTTTGCTCCCGTACTTCCGGCTTTAGATCTTAATATTGGGGAATAAAATATTTTAAGAATATCTGCAAATATCGTTTCGTCATTACTTCATACGAAGAGAAACGCATGAGATAATATAAAAACAAGTAAAAACACTACAGTGGGTCGCGATCCACAATTAAATATCTTGGGCCGTCCTACAGTTATTCGACAACGACTTTTCAAACTAAGATGTTATATCGGAGATAGTTGAAAGAGTGATTCGATCCGAATCATTTTCAATACTATTCGTTCTTAGGCCAAAACACGTCAGTCTGCGAAATTTAATCGAAATATCGGGAAAATTGGGATCTGTAAGTTGAACACAAAAAATAAGATGAATGACCGATTAGATGACAGGACAGACAAGCTAAGATTTAGAAAACGATTTTCAATCAACATTCAATTCAAGATATAATTCTGCATCCTCTGGTATAATAGAAGATGGACCTATCTCAAGGCTTCCATCTGCGCGAACTTAATATGCCCTTATATCGTAAACGGTATAGGATACAACAATGAAAACTTTACACATTCACCTCAACAAGTTTTTCAAAACAACGCGACCAATCGTTAACGTAAAAAAAATCCTCAAGAAGCAAGGAGCTTGCATCCAGGTTAAAAATATTAAGAACATTAAGTAACGAAGAGATTATTGATCCGTTACATCATCACCAGCATGGACTGATATTTCGAAATAGCAAACTCTATTCGATTAAGAAATGCTATATGCTAAACAATTTTGAATTTTTATTAAGATAATAAAATGATCTTTAACGTAAAGCAGACGTCGCCTAAGAGTCACCTTAATTGCTAATCCGCGCTGTAAGTACAGCTTGCCCGAAATCGAGCTGTTTCGTAAAAACTGCGAAAAATTATTTTTTTTATTAAAAATTTTGCAACGATTATGTGGATCATATATAAATTGACATACGACACGATATTCTCTTATAATCTTATTGATATCAAGATTTTCATTCGTAACGCTCTGCCCTATATTTATACTTTTGCAACAACATTGCATTGTCTACCGTAGTATAAGCATTCTGAACAACTGGTAAGATCTGTGACACTAATCAATAATACCCGAATATTATTCGTAGACTGTTTGTGACTATGTGCTTCTCTTGATCCGACAAATTTTCGTGTATTTTTGAATGTACGAAGCCTGTGCTGCGCAGGCTAAAATTGAAGATATCTCAAACAAATCGATCGTGACTTGGGGGTG